AAATAATCGACTAGGTAATCTAGGATTTTTAATTTGTGCTCTCTTTTTTCTTTTGATTTGGACTTGTGGATGCTAATGCTACACCCATAAACACAGAATCAAGAGGAATAGAGAAATGAAGACCAAAATAAATAAATAAATAAAAACGAAGGAGAGGGAGAGAAAGAAAGCTAGTTCATGGGTTTGAAATTTTGGGTTTGAAATTATTCTGTGTTCATGGGTTTGAAATTATTCTGTGTCCATGATGATGATGATGAAATTATTCTGTGTTCATGGGTTTGAAATTGATCAAATTTCAAACCCACCCAAAATACTCTTTTTGCTTTGCACCATTTTCCTCTTTTATTTTTGATTGAATTTTATTAATATGTTTTCCTCCTGTGTTTGATTGAAATTTCCTCCTGTGTTCATCGCCCTTACTTACCCAAAATTTCAAACCCAATCAAACCCATTTTCCTCATGTGTTCATCGCCCTTAACTACCCAAAATTTCAAACCCAAGAACTAAAATCAAGCCCAAGAACACAGAATAATTTCGTCATCATGATCATCATCACCAAGAACTAAAATCAAGCCCAAGAACACAGAACTAAAATCAAGCCCGATTGGTTTTGAACTCGAGAAGTGATCGGACTTCGTCGGAGGAAGAAGAAGAAATAGGAATGGGAGCAGAGGAAGGGAAGGTGGGTAGAGGCGGCGATGGCGGGGAGGTGGTAGTGCCGTCTCAAACCTACCCCACCTCCTTTCTGAGATCTGTGTTATGTTTTTTTTTTTTTTCCCCTGAAAAGTTGCCCCAAAATGACGTCGTTTTGGGGCGCTACAGGGAAGGACTGCAAATAAGGACGACGGAGGATCCGGATTCAGAGAGTAAGTCAAAGTCTGGACTAACTTATCAAATGACCATAATAGAGGTATTATAGTCAATATACTGGATATCTCATGTCCTGTCATGTCTTATCAATTACAACCCCTTTAAACAAATATTGAATTGGATAATATTTTGTTAATCCCTCCTTATAATCCTAACTCAATCAGAAATCTAAAGAGATTCGTAGTCCTAAGACTATTAGTCATGGAAATACTAATCCAACTTAATCCAGTCCATCTAAACAAACATGGCCTAAATTTCTCAAATTAACAATTCTTCAAGGCTCCGTTTGTTTTGGGAGACAGAGTAGGGATTGGAATTGACATGAAGGTCCAAGAACTAAAATCAAGCCCAAGAACACAAAATAATTTCATCATCATCATCATCATCATCATCACCAAGAACTAAAATCAAGCCCAAGAACACAGAACTAAAATCAAGCCCGATTGGTTTTGAACTCGAGAAGTGATCGGACTTCGTCAAAGGAAGAAGAAGAAACAGGAATGGGAGAAGAGGAAGAGAAGGTGGGTAGAGGCGGCGATGGCGAAGAGGAAGGGAAGGTGGGTAGCGGCGGCGATGGCGGGGAGGTGGTGGTGCTGTCTCAAACCCCCCCCCCCTCCTTTCTGTGTTCTGTGTTTTTTTTTTTTTTTTTGTGTCATGAAAAGTTGCCCCAAAACGACGTCATTTTGGGGCGCTACAGGGAAGGGCTGCAGATAAAGGCGACGGAAGATCCGGATTCAGAGAGTGACGCCCCAAATATAGCACTCAAATCAAATCTCTCTAGATTTGTTTCTTGCAGAAAATTACCAACTTTCACACACACACACTCTCTCTCTCTCTACTCTCTTTACTCTCTCTTTCCATATATATGCATATATATATGTAGTAGAAATTTCTTACTCTTAACATTCTTACGCACATAGAGGTCCATGGCAGTTCTGTGAGTTTTGCTCTATTTTTTTCCATCAAAAGTATGCTTGTAAGTCTTCTTTCTTCATTCAAAAATTTTGAGAAAACAAGCCATGGAGATTGAAAATCGAATTCAGATTAAAAAACCTATCAAGCGAAAAATCATCGACAACCACAAATCGCGGAGCAGAGTGACGTACAAGATGAGAAAAGCCTGTATCATCAAGAAAACAATGGAGCTCTCAATCTTGTGCGACATCAAAGCCTTCACCATCTGTTTTGGGCCCAACAATGAGGTTGAGACATGGCCTGAAAACCCAACCCACGTCATAACTCTCATCAACACGTACAAGAATAACCGCCGAGGCAAACAACTGGTTCAAGCACAACAGTAACAACCCTCTGATCATCATCGTGGCTTAGATGACAAAATCAGGGGTTTATTGGGTTGGAATGATGGTTGGCTTTGTTGGTTGTCAAGAGAACAGTTGATGAGTTTATGGAATTGATGAAATTGAAATTATAGGAATTAACAAGAAGAATGTTCAGTAAGATGCACCACCAGTACCAACCATTAATCGAGCCACCGACGTTCGTGCCGCTTTGGCCATTCTATGGAGTTCCTGGAAGTAGTGGTGGTGATGGTGGTGGTAGTAGTGGTGGTGAGTTGAGTGTGCCATTGACATGGGAGTTTAATGAGACATTGGAGGAGACTATTGCTAATGCCATGAACAATTGTGATACTAATCAGATGTGTCTGCAATTTTCTTCGCCTCTCAATGAAGTTTTGTTTGCATCAATGTATACGATAAATCCGCTGCAAATCACTGAGCCTCAGTTAGGTAAAGAAACAATCAACAGTGACACTGACTCTCAAGCCAATCCCAGTCTGTATGTGAACATTGATTGGATTATTTAGTTGGTTTATTTACTTGCTTTTAGTTTTTTTTTCCCTTCAAATTATGTTTTAGTAGAGTCTGAATTGTGCTTTGCACTGTTAATTGTAGGAAGTATAAGTCATCTTTTTTGTTACATTATCAGTAGTATCTCTTCTATTCTTCAATTTTAACAAACTTCTTTTTTTTTTTTGAACAGAGGAAATCTTTACAACCAAAACTAAGATGCTCCCAATAAACAAATCAGAGGAGGAGGGTTTGACACCCAATTTAAAGGGAGCTCGTCATGAAGGCACGCCTGTGCTACCCAATGCGCCACTGTGTTCAAAGCCTTAGACCTCCACTGAAAGGAGAACCTGCCCTGGGTCGCCAAACGCTTGATGTCGCTAACAAACTTGGAATTATAACTTCTATATCTGTTGCCCTTAGTTATTATTGTTGATGCACTATCTGGATTCTTACTATAATTTTTGTTTTGAACAATTCTAGATAAATAGTTTAATTGAAAATTTGGCTATAAATCCCTTTTACCTTCCTTTCATTGTTAGAAGAACTAAGAAAAAAATTATACTTTCTAAACCCCCTCATAATTATAAAATCTTGCATAAAGGACAAAATTTATTATTTAAATATTTTATCAGACTATTATACCCTCACATATACACAATCCAGATACAAAATTTATCTTCTCTCTCGTCTCTCACTTCTAACCCTAGCTTCCTCCATGGCCGGAGCTGTGTCATTCCTAAGCTCCGACGATCTCTCTCTGCATCTTCTCAACTCTCCTCCTTCAACTCTCCTTCAACTGTTCATCTTCTATAACGTCTCTTTCTTCTAATCCTAGTTTCCTCTATGGCCGGAGCTGTGGAGAACTTGCAAATCGCTCTGATACATATATATATATATATATATATTTTCAGTGTTGTTTTTATTTATTAAAATCAGATTTAAATTTTGTTTTTGTAACAAAATAAAATCTGTTTTTATTTATTTATTTTTATTTCGAGTTTGATTTTTGTAATCAAACAAATTCTCTCATTTTCTTTATTTCTTTATATTCTTGTTGTTGTTTTGTACACAACAGAATTTAATCTTTTTAAATACAGTGAAGATTGTCCAACACAATGTATACGATGAATCCGCTGCAAATCACTGAGCCTCAGTTGGATGAAGAAACAATCAGCAGTGACACTGACTCTCAAGCCAATCCCAGTCTGTATGTGAACATTGATTGGATTATATAGTTGGTTTATTTACTTGCTTTTAGTTTTTTTTTCCCTTCAAATTATGTTTTAGTAGAGTCTGAATTGTGCTTTGCACTGTTAATTGTAGGAAGTATGAGTCATCTTTTTTGTTACATTATTAGTAGTATCTCTTCTATTCTTCAATTTTAACAAACTTCTTTTTTTTTTTGAGCAGAGGAAATCTTTACAACCAAAACTAAGATGCTCCCAATAAACAAACCTGAGGAGGAGGGTTTGACACCCAATTTAAAGGGAGCTCGTCATGAAGGCACGCCTGTGCTACCCAATGCGCCACTGTGTTCAAAGCCTTGGACCTCCACTGAAAGGAGAACCTGCCCTGGGTCGCCAAACGCTTGATGTCGCTGACAAACTTGGAATTATAACTTCTGTATCTGTTGCCCTTAATTATTATTGTTGATGCACTATCTGGATTCTTACTATAATTTTTGTTTTGAACAATTCTAGATAAATAGTTTAATTGAGTCATGAGCCAACAAAGGTTGATTTTATTGCCTAATAGTTTAACACTTTTGGGAACAAAGGTTGATTTTATCGCCTAATAGTTTAATTGGCATTGCTCCAAATCAATCCAAATTTCATGCAAATGAATGGCTTTGATTAATTTAAACATTGTCACGTCAATACCTTTGGGTCAATAAATAATTGCTCATAACCTGGGATTGTCCCAAGCCTATGATTAATCCGATTCGCTCCTATTGTTAGATTTATCAAACTTATTATCTTGGAAAAAATTAAGTTAATTAAACAACTGTAACCTCATAATAAGATCATGTTCAACATAATTTTGATAATTTCTTGTTAAAACAATTAAGACCTTATCATAAGATTACAAATGTCCAATTATTTTGATTTTTTTCATAGATGATTTACTTGACAAATTGTACAATATAAACAGTTCAATTATCAAAATAAACAGAAGACAAGCCTCCACTGGGCCGCACATCATCAAAATAAGCCTAAGAGACAAGCCTCCTCAGGCCGCACAGCAGCTTGTCCCCATATTATGTCTGAAATGCACTGCTTTATCTTAAAAGCGATATTTTTCCTTTTTTTTTTTTTTTTTGGAGAACAATAAAGAACCATATAATTAATAATAACCAAAAACAAAATATTGTCTAGTAACCTTAGTGGGTATAACTTTTAAATTCTTACAAGGTATTCTTAACATGAACCATAATTGGAACAAGAAAGTCCAAAGTAGCATCATTTCTCCCAAATTTCTCTCCAAAACTTACACATAGAATCCTTATTGGTAAATGAGAGGGAGACTTGCGCCGGACAAGTACGGCCGAGCTATGATAACGCGAGTTATAATGAACCTTGCGAGAGCCGTTTACTCGGTTGGGGCGGCTCCCCGGCCCGTCATGCCAGTCCGAGCTACGTTTACTAATGGTTGTATTGGTGGTGGTGGAGGAGTAGAGGTAGAAGCCGGTGGCCGTGGTGGTGGTGATGGCAACAGTGGTAGTAGTGTAGTGGCATTGGTAAGATTTTAGTTTAGAAATGTTTTTCACCATTTAAAAGTGGACACTTTGGGACGCGAAGAAGCTATTATTGCCCAACTCTTGACCATGGAAAACATTTGCTATTTCTACCAAACGCCAAAAAAAAAAAAAAAAAACATTTTTCAAAAAATGTTTTACGTCTAAAAAAACAGAGGGTAATAGAAAGTATAAGACATCAACAATAAACTGAAAAACAGAGCATCCACAAATATGAAATTGGATATTAATGTCAAGAAGGCATTACCAAAGGGCTCCACAAATTTCTTATACATGAAAGCCACAGGGACTCCCCAAAACCACCAAATCAACAAAAAATATGTAAAAACCTGTTGGGTAACCATGCAACTAAACACTTCAGCACTTTGTTCAGGGAAACTTGTAAATATTTTAAGCATCAAACTGTTCCCAGATCACCTTTAATATTGTGAGACCTTTCAAATATGAATCATATGACGATTTCACCTCCTTGCTATGCAATTCTTGAACTGCAAGTTGGTTAAAGCTGTTAGATTCCATCCATACGATACATCCAAATTGAAAAACAACAGTGAACTAGCAGGACATACAAATTACAACAAGAAGAAAACTACAGAAAGATAATGCAACTCCGACAAAAAGGCTAATGACTCAGACATGGCATGCAAAGCTTAACCATTTGAAGCATAAACATGTACCACGTCTCTTTCGGTAGCCTCTCTTTAAAGCTAATAAAGAATAATCAACTCAAAATTAAAGAATGGCCAACTTCAAAGACTGCAGCTAATGACAATAAAAATCCTGACATTTTAGATAAATAAAAGTAAGACTCAACCAATAAGAGCACATGGTAAGGAACCAAGGATTCAAATTTTAAGGCAATATGTTGACAAGCTAAGAAACTCTCGACAAGCAACTAAACACTTTGATTCTCTCCATATATCTCCTTCAAAGAAAAAACAAAAGAAAACAAAGGAACCAGAGGTAACAAAAAAAAAATCACAATCAATCCACTTTGCTACCACTGTTTGTTAATACAACACCAGTTGCTCCCATCACATTCTTATCTCTCACCAACTCTCTTTTTTTAATAAGGTATCTCCCTCATCTCAGCAACTCACCTGTTATTTGCAAGCAATCGTCCATCACAGAGCTCTCCCCTCGTCAACATTTTCCATCACTTCTGCCTCTTGCTGCAAGCCACTGTCTTCCTTCTAACATGCTCTGGGTTTGCAAAAAACAATCACTGCCTCAAATCATGCTGCTCCACTTACCCTTCCTCCTCTCAACAAATAAGGACCTTTATCTGATCACAGTGGGCTCCCACTGAACATTTCATTTGAAAATTGTCCTCTTGCTCATAGATCCTGATAGACCAGCTTCATACCTTTGCAAAGAGAAACCTGGCTGATAGAGCCCAATCAGAGACCAGCCCCTTCATCAATATTGAACCTCATTCATGAAGGTTTTCTGATTGTCACCAATTTCAAACTGGGCCCATTCCTTGAGCAATCTGCCCTAAATGATCACCGCAAGAAAATTTCATAATCACAAAGGCAACTCCTTTAACCATACCTAGGGCGCAAGGCTCCTGCTTGCAATAGGGTCTGAGAGAGATGGTCCCTTTTTTTTTTCTTTTTTTTTTTTGGTGGAGAGGCTGATTTCCATGATTCAGATCTGCACCACAAAGTTAGGGGAAAATAGCGCAGCTCCCATTCACAAGAAGGTAATAGGTAAGCATTCTGACCCCTACTTTTTTAGAGAAGTCGAATTTAGAGACTCAAACCAACACCACAAGGCTAAAGAAAAATAAAAATCAAACCAAACTAAGTCTTGTGTCACAATCAAGTGGGGTCAGTCACAAATTCTATTTCGCCATCTTGTTCCGTAAAACGCTATATGCTCAATTAAATAAAAAAAAAATCATATCTTTCTTTACTATAGCATCCCATGTCAATTTCAGTCTTTTCCTCCCCCTCACATTGCCATTTACGGTGATCACATCACCTCTTTGCATCTACAAGTTTTTGTTGTACATGATCAAACTATTCTCTCAACATAGCTTTAATTGGTGCAACTTCTACCATTTCATGAATATGTTCGTCTCTAATTCTATCTTTTTTGGTCTTACCACACACATCCATCTATACATCCTCTTCTGCTTGTGTCTTGCTTAGTGTTTTATCTTTTACATAGTTGGTTCCAACCTTGGATGCAGAGGAGGGTTGTGTGTTGAGTAACCTGATAGTCAACACGAAAAGTCCCTTTTAGGTCCCTTATGAGCATGAATCCTCAAAAACTACAAAGAAATGCTTCCAATAGAGAGCATGGTGAAAATAACATGCTAAAAAATTTACGTACTTTTTGCAAGGTCCTTCTCCTTAGCCAAGTAGTTTGTGCAAATGTTGAAGTCCTGTGATCAACAAAGTAAAGCAAATCCTTTCAGATCACATGTTCCAAATAATGTGCGTTCTATTTATCATAAAATCATCTCTTTAAACCCCTTCTCCAACAAAAATGAAAAACATCTCTTTCCTGTGTCATTGAGTAGTAATAGAAGTGTGAACAAGACGGTTGCATCACATAATTTAGCATTCTATTCAAGAGTTAGATCTCAAAAGAAAAGCAAATGTTTCGAAAATTGCTTCACAGAAAAGAAATTCACATATTCAAGCATGAACTTGTTTATCTAGCAGTTATTGTAATAAGAGAAATATTCCCAACCACGTATAATTAGTTTGCTGACAAGAGACAAAGTAAAGCAAATCCTTTCAGATCACATGTTCCAAATAATGTGCGTTCTATTTATCATAAAATCATCTCTTTAAACCCCTACTCCAACAAAAATGAAAAACATCTCTTGCCTGTGTCATCGAGTAGTAATAGAAGTGTGAACAAGACGGTTGCATCACATAACTTAGCATTCTATTCAAGAGTTAGATCTCAAAAGAAAAGCAAATGTTTCGAAAATTGCTTCACAGAAAGAAATTCACATATTCAAGCATGAACTTGTTTATCTAGCAGTTATTGTAATAAGAGAAATATTCCCAACCACGTATAATTAGTTTGCTGACAAGAGTACGTTTGGACCTCCTGATGAATCAACAATACTCACAAGAACAAGACAAGACCTGACCTAGTAGCTATCAAATTTTCTATCTTCACCTCATATCTCTCTAACTACCATGAGAAATTTTGAAAATGTGATTGTTCATTTCCTTTTCCTTTTCTAAGCTATATACTAAGATGTAATTAGACGACTAATTAATCATCTTGTCACCTTGTACCTTCGTAGTCTAAGCATTGTTGATTGGATGATCCTATTCAGTTATTAATTTGTAAGATGAAACTGATCTAGAAACATCTTGTATGCATGGATTGAAAATATGTCGTCAATTAAAAAAGGAAAAAACTAATGCAAAATTAAAGCAAGGGCTGTATGGATGTGCAACAGAGAAGGACTGTTTGACCTGCCACAAAGGATATTATGCATGGACTAATTCCCATGTGTATGTTGTTGCCAAGGAAAGAGTCTTGATTGATGGGATACAAAGGACAGGAATCACGGAATTAGTTGATAACGTTATAAACACACATGTAAGTATAACCAGCAGGGTGCTTGGCAAAGCATAGTACTGAAGGGTAGAGAGGGAAATTGGGATCAAAAGTTTTAAAAGTACATCGAAAAGCTATATAAGGAATCATTACAATTACAATATTATTTAATGTAATTGAGGGGACTAACTTAGGAACAGTTAAAGATCAATCCGGTAAAAGGATAATATTACTGTTTTTCTTCTTTAAGACGAACATTCCAACAAGACAAGGAACAGACAATGGTATCAGCATATCGCCAACATAATTTTCTATTCTCTTTTTCAGCCAAGTGGATTTCCCTAGTTTGGGAAATAGTTTTTCAAACCTTTTTTTTTTTTTTTCTTTTTGGTCTTGTGAACTGCGTTAATTTTTTGTCTTTAGTTATTTTACTTTAAGGTGATTCTAGACTTAGAAAAACGCAAAACAACACTGTGATGCATTCTAATTAGGAGGAAAAGAAATCACTCACTGTGACAATGAGCTCGCCTCTTTATGCAGTTGCTTAATCTCTTAGCGCAATTGGGTCTCCACATTAGACATTGATCCCCTCAAGCAAGAAGCACATAACCAAAATACAAGCCGTTTTACAATAGATGCCACTGTGGTAAATCAAAAGCATGAATTACCAGTAAAGATATCCAAACATTTGAAGAAATAAGAGCCATTTCATTTTTTGAGAATAAATGTTATTCAATTGTCATAATTACATTGTAGGTAAGATTATGTCTATCTTTTTGTCCATAATAAAACAAACAAACAAACAAACAAACAAAAGGCAAATACATATACTCAAAACCTCGTGATTATGTTACATGGACTCTTCTAATTTCCTAGAAGTACCCATATCCACCGGATATGACCGTTGGAACAATCTTCTGTGTAAAATAAATAATTTGAAACCAACTCAAATAAATAAAAATAAATCACTTACAGAATTTATTTTACCAAACCAAATAAAACTTTAAAAAGTGTGACACTCTGTCCTTAAGACAGATTCGCCCTGCTTTGGTGCTTACGGATAAATGGCATCTATCTCCCAGGATACAATAATCTTCACAAATTGTAATAGCACTCCAAACAATTTGTACGGCGAACCAAACCTGTGTTGCATACTCTCTAAATTTTATTTTAAAACTAATATGAAGAATAATGATGCAAGAAAGCAAAATGAAGGCAACAAAATGAATTTTTCGGAGTGTAGAAATCTGCTGGAATGCCTTGATATTTATAGGACTGAACAGGTTTGAATTCAAAGCTGAACAAGTATGATTTCAAACTGGTACAAGTGCAAGATCTGTTTGAACCCAGTTTGAATATGTTCAAATCTGCCTGGCCAGATTTAAATCTGTTTGGATATAACCGAATCTGTTCGGTGCAAAACAGGTTGAAACCTGTTTGGACTAGTTGAACTTGTTGGAAATTGGACCGGAGAAAGGCTCTTTTTGGACAGAAAAAATTGACACAAAATTTAAATTAATGTTCCCGCAAGAATTTGAAAAAATTCAAATAAATTTTGTCCAAAAAATTAATATTAGAATCGACCCAACCCATAACCGACAGTCGATACGGCTGGGCTCGGCCGAACAGGCGGCAGTAGCCCGCGTGTTGAGTTAGAACACAACGGCTATACAAAAGTGAATCTTTATTTAGATGCAAAGATACACTCAAGTATACAAGAAGACTTTCAAGGACACCTCGCTTTTGGAATCACTCACACTCAAGCACTTGACTCCACTCTTGTGTCTTATGCCTCCCAAATGAGGTCACCTCCTTTTATATAGTCATCCACCTCTTCAATGGATGGCTAGGATCATTTTGATCCAAGGGCTATTATTAACCCTCTAAAAAAATTCTAGCATATACTCATACTTTCCAATATTCTAGAACTCTCTAAACTATTCTAGTATATAATAGTACTTGCTATACTTCTAAAATATTTTAGAACCTTTCGGAACCTTCTAGATTTCTCTAGATTTCTACAAGCTTCTCTAACGTTCCGAAATCTTCTACAATATTCTAGAATCGTCCGGATTTCTTTAGATCTTTCTAGAGTCTTCTAGATCTTTCCAGAGTCTTCTAGATTATTCAACATATGCACTTAATAGCCTAGATGATTCTAGAAAAGTCAATGATGACTCTTAACACTCCCCCTCAGCATTGACTCCTTTATTTAGTTCTTATTTTGTAGTTAAGCCGAGTTGCTTTCGAAGCTCTACAAACTTTGAAGCTCCAAGTCCTTTAGTTATCAAGTTTGTTACTTGGTCATCTGTTCTGATTGATTTCATCTCTATCTCTCCTTAGAGCACCTTCTCTCGAATGAAATGGTAATGTACCTCCATGTGCTTTGTTCTTGCATGAAATCGGCTTCACGTCCTTGGGCTTAGGAACTAGCTCCCATGTTTGATTCTGTCTGAGGGCTTGAATCTCTTTCTCCATTGCCTTCTGCCATGCTTTGCTTTGGGATGCCTTTTCAAACGTCGTTGGCTCTGTAATGCTATCTTCTTCAATTAGAGCAGCATTTGCATACTTCGGATTAGGCTTAAATTGTCTTTCCGACCTTCTGAGTTTTGGTCCAGTCTCTTCAACCCCTTCTTGTTGGCTCAGGCGAACTTCGTTTGGACTCTTGTGATGGATACCTATTTTCCACGAACTTAAAGATCTTATTGGTGTCTTTGACAAGTCAGGCTCTAGCTCATCATCACTTTGTGTTGATACTGGCTCCTTGATGATTTCTAAACTAGGAGGTGCCTCTTCCTCTTGAACTTCGGATGTTCCTTTTGCTGCAAAACAAATACTATATCCCCAGTAACTGCATCGAGTTCTTCATCAGTCTCCCCTGGGAATGTAATCGTCTGGCCATTTTGCATGCCCTTCTCGACAATGACTTCCAGCACCTTTTTCTCCGGAACAACCTTCTCACCTTGGCACTGAGGGCAGCGATCTTTATCATTGATAGTCTCCCCAGTTCCCTTGCATTCATTACAAGGATGCTACATCTACTGAATCATTGAAGGACCGAGCTGCCTAATCGAGACCTTCATTCCAGTCCCTTGACAGCTAGAACATTTCATTGAAGCACCAGATTTTGAACCTTTCCCATTGCACTTTGAGCAAAGGACATTTCGAGATAGGAAAAGCTTTTTAGAGATTCCACTATACAAGTCCTCAAGAGAGACCTTCAAGGGATGGACTACATCTTCTCTTCGTCACCAGTCTTGTGGTTAGAGCATCCTGAATCAACGATCCAATCATTGTTGTAGTTGATTGCTCCAGTTTTAGACTCCACCACAAGAGCCGACTCATTAGGCTCAGACACAAACGCACATACAGCCACTTCACTAGCGGTTGGACTATGTTGCTCTTGCACTTCCCATGCATCAAAGTCTACTTCTTCAGAGCAATAAGACTCATTAGAATCGAACACTGCAAAGGATGCTTAGAAGTCCCATTCTTCCTCACTGTTGTCTTGGTGACTTTTGGATGTCACTAAGTTACCTTCTTCTTGCCTTCTCTTTGAACGACAATCTTTTGCGTAGTGACCTCTCTTTCCACATTTGTAGCACTCTATGTTACACCGCCAGGGTGCTGAGGATCGTCGATCATGGTTGTTACTGCCAGATTGAGCTCCCCCTGTTTGAGAGCTCCCATCTTGCTATTGTGATTTGGCATGTTCATTTTTCTTTGGCCTTGTAGAGTTAGGTTGTCTTGGTCCACCACGTCTTGGTCCACCCCTTCTATTATTATTACTGAAGAGTGCCTCCTCTTCAATATTCAATGAGACCCCAACCACTCGCTTGTATAGGCTTTCTTGATTGGTCAATAAATTCTTCAACTCTATAAGAGATGGTTGAATTGGCCAACCCCTTATAGCTGTGATGAATGCATTATACTGGGGCCTTAACCCATATATAATGATCGTCCTCATTCTTTCCTCATTAATATTTGCTTTAGGATCTAGATCTAAAATTTCATGACATAGATCATTAATTTTTGAGAAATATTCACTTATGGACTTACTTCGTTGAGTGATAGACATCAACTCATTTTCTAGAAATTGGAGTCGGGCATCATTTGTTTTTGAAAACAATGATGCAAAGGTATCCCATGCTACCTTAGGTGTGTCATCATTCCTGATGCGCCCGAGCAACTCATCCTCTATGGTTGTCTTGAGCACATACATTGCCTTTTCGGCCTTGATCTTCCATTTGCGGAGTGCCTCGGCATTTTCGTGGAAGGTGGTGCAGTCTCATTTCCATTAACAACCTTTCACAAATCCTACCCTTTAAGGTAGGACTTGATGCGACTCTGCCAACTCTAGTAGTTGTTGTTATTGAGTCTTGTGACTCCACTCGTTGTGGTCACAAGATCTACCATCGTGACTTGGTGTGATCCTCTTGCACTTTCACCAAGTAAGTGTGGTCTCTAATCCACAAGCTTCACAGCCTTAAGTTGTGCACGATCAACTCAAGAAAATGGTCCTTGACCACCTTGCTTTGATACCAAATTGTTGAGATAGAACACAACGGCTATACAAAAGTGAATCTTTATATAGATGCAAAGATACACTCAAGTATACAAAAAGACTCTCAAGGACACATCACTTTTGAAATCACTCACACTCAAGCACTTGACTCCACTCGTGTCTTGTGCCTCCCAAATGAGGTCACTTCCCTTTATATAGTTATCCACCTCCTCAATGGATGGCTAGGATCATTTTGATCCAAGAACTATTATTAACCCTCTAGAATATTCTAGCATATACTCATATTTTCCAATATTCTAGAACTTTCTAAACTATTCTAATATATAATAGTACTTTCTATACTTCTAAAATATTTTAGAACCTTCCGGAACCTTCTAGATTTCTATAAACTTCTTTAACGTTCCGAAATCTTCTACAATATTCTAGAATCGCCCAGATTTCTTTAGATCTTTCTAGATTCTTCTAAATCTTTTCGAAGTCTTCTAGATTATTCAACATATGCACTTAATAGCCTAGATGATTCTAGAAAAGTCAATGATGACTCTTAACACCGCGTGTGTGGTGGTTTGAGCCAAGGTTCACTTTGTCCATAACTCCTCCCTTCTACAAACTTGGGGTACTCCTTAGGGCCCAACCCAAGTGTTGCCACCTACAACTTATATACACACATAAATTCTCTTAAGTTTCCAATGTGGGATAACCATTTCAAGGAAATCCACATTTTACTTCTTCAATTTCCTATTATACAAACCCGAAAACGACGTCTAACTTCTCATTCACTCATAAATGGTTTTGACGAACCATCTTCACTATGTGACTTGACATGCAGTAAGGAACACATCACCTCTTTGGACCCATCCCAAAAGACGTGTGGGACCCATTCAATTTTGGGCTCAAAGTTTGCCCAAAATAAGCCTATAAAAACTATAATTTTCCATTAATGACAAGGGTAAGGGTACCCATACCCAATTTAGACACTTGGATCCCCTAACTTTTTAAAATGTTTAAGGAATAAGAGACTCAAATTTGCTAGAAACGGAACATTTATAACCTCTAACATAGATGAGAGAAAGAAATTACACATTTTCCTAAATCTTATTTAATTTCAAATAAATTATTACATAATTTACAACAGCTTATCTAATAATATTATATAATATGTAACATATATAAGTGTCGGTCCCTGGACCCATATCATACTTTCAGATACATATCCAATTATCCTAATATTTAAATTTATAGAAGTTTGAAACTTGGATAAGCACGCGTACCCAAGCCCATATAACATAGAATAATAATAGTATCTAATAACATCTCCCAAGTGAATTTCCAATTCTCGACTCAAACAACTATCAAACTTAAATTTGGGGGAAAATACTCAAAACACAGTCCTAATAATGTGTTTAATTGGGAGATTTGGGGAGGGATTTGAAAAAGAAAAGGAAAAAATTAGGAAAAATGTGAATAAAATATACCTACATTTTATCCAATTTCACACACATTTTCCCTTTCCCTTTCCCTTTCCCTCCCCAAATCCCCCAACCAAACACAATGTAAATCTATACCAAATTGAGTATTACTCAAATTTTTACTGAAATCAATGGAGATACAAACGTTTACTCAAAGTGTTCAAGGCTATTCAAATTTATCACTCTCCCATTAGTGAAACTTTTACTCAAAAATATGCTTAAATAGTCCATTAGAGTGGTTCATATCAAATAGAGCTTCTACTCAAATTTGAGGACAATATTTTTTGAGTAAGGATTGGAGATAGCCCTTAGAGAGACATATTTTAATATCTACAGTAAATTATAATCGAAATAAAAACAAGTTAATCTAATGGTGTGATTGAGTTGCCAAAATTGATAAAAATCAATGATTAGTGAGTCGCTAAGCCCTAAATTACGAAAAGGGAATGAAAGAAGGAACCTTGGTCTTGTGTTGTATGTATGTAGATAGGAATTGGAATGCGATTACGATGGTGAAGATTATTGGAGCTGCTACTGATCTTTCATTTTCCTCTCCCGCGGTTTCTTCCATGGTTCTTCGCTTTTTGCAGTTTGCTTCTCTCTCTCTCTCTCTCTCTCTCTCTCTGTTTTTCAGTCAAATTCGAAGCTGTTCAAGCTTTGTGTGTTCTTCTTAACAGCAACGCCAACGCTCTGTTTGGAGGGTGGGGTTTTGTGAGAAAATAAAGCAAACGGGGAGAATATAAACACTTTTGTTTGTCAACAGAAATGGCGAAATTTGATGAGAAAATAAATTAGTTTAATGGAAATTTTTAAAAATATTAAAATTATTTTTAGAAAAATTTATTTATAAATCTCATTTTAAAAATTATGATCTATTTTGTCCCAAAAGACTTTTTTTATAGACAAATTAATCCCATTAATTTTAGAAAGGTAGATTTAATATATTATTTATAAATTATATTTACGGTTATATCCTTATTTCTATTATATTTCATTCTCTTTTTCTTCTTTTGTGCTAGAAAGGTAATATACACAATCTATGATAATCAAATTTGTGATGACTTTTTATATGAAAATCTTTTTTATTTAAAAAGCATTTCATAATGAGTACAAAAATAACTTGAAATATAATATTCCTCAAACATTTCAAAAGGACGTGGGATCTCCAAACATTTCAAAAGGAGAATAAAAATCCCTTAGTAAACTTTGGACAAATGTATAATTTCAAACCTTAACACTTCAATATAACACTCAAACGTAACACTTCAATATAATATTTTAAAAAAAAAATTAGTGCATTTTTTCTAAACATAATACTCCAATATAACACTCAAAAAAAATTCTTAGTGTAACCCTCAAATGTAACACTAAAAAAAAATGATATATAATTCTTCAAACCATTTTAAAAGGTTGTGGAATTCTTCAAACCATTCAAAAAAGAATATAAAAATTTTGTAGTAAGTTTTAAGCAAATATATAATTTCAAATTATGAGTGTTACATTTGGAAAAATTATATTAAGGAATTTTTTAATATTTTGTGTTTGTTACATTAGAGTGTTACGTTTGAAATTACATTAATTGGAGTATTATGTTCAGGAAAAGTATATTACCGAGTTTTTTTATATGTTACATTGAAGTGTTACGCTTGGAAAAAATACACTAATGAGTTTTTTTGAAGTGTTATGTTGTTACATTAGAGAAAAATGCACCAAGGAGTTTTTTAATGTGTTATATTGGAGTGTTACATTATTAGAATGTTACATTTTTATTCGTAATGTAAGATTTGTTTTAGAAGGGAAAATCCAAATATTCTATAGTGCGGATTGTCCAAATGTGTAACTTTACATTTAGAGAAACCAAGTTTTATCCATAAAAAATTAAACCCAAACATGTAAGTAATTATCTTTTTGTATAATTTTCACTTTAACGGGACTTTTGAATTCATAAGAAAAAATAAATGATTAAATAGTTCACAAGATCATATTTTAATATTTATTGATGTTTCGTCCTTATTTTTATCAAAAAAACATAATTTATTAATATAAAAAATTATTTTAATAAAATAAAATAAAACGTTTTCTTTTCTTTTTTTCTTATTTATTTTATCTTAGCTTTTATTTGGTAAGATTATTTTGATAAAATAAAATAAATATTTTGTTAGCTTTTATTCATAAGATATTATAATTTTTTTTTTTTTTTTCCCTCACCTTACATGATGATGGAGTGTAACGGAGATATAACAAAACGGATGGGTTCGGGTAAATTACATTCTCCACATTAATGAATTAGCTATTTTTTAATCATTACTTTTGATTTTTTTTATTTTTTATTTTACTTTAACTTTTATATTTAATTTTTTTTACATTAATTTTTATCACATTAAATATCACGTATACAAAAAAATATGTTATTTTATTGAGCCCACTCCACCCTTCATCATCATGTCCTGTGTAGCCACCCTCTCTTTTACTACTCTCTAACCCTTATCCTATGAATGTCTTAAAAACAGTTTGCCCTACATGCTACGCGGTGAGGATATTTCCAGTTAGAATCCTTTTTTCTGTATGTATAATTTATTATGTTTCTAATTTGTCACTTTCTAGTTAGAATGCTTATTTTTTATATGTATACTTATATTATGTTATCTCAATTTGTGAAGACCCGACCCAACTTTTCGCCTTTTGTTTGACACCGTCAATGAACGGAGGTCACATCTCATATTTAATAAGTTCATCAATGTCATGTTAATAAATATTATCTATACTTTGTCATTCGAGGCGGACCTATAATAGAACAATGATTGATAATCCTCTTCGAGTGTGTTAAAAATGAAACTCATAAATATATATTTTTTTTTTCTTTAGGCGAAACAGATCACACCATCAAACTCAGAATGTCGAAATTAGTCAACAGTGATTAAATGAAATTTTTTTTGAACCAATTTTCGGATAGCTCGGATGTCCGCGCACTGCGTTTTATCCAAGCAGTGCAATTTGTGGTGGTAAAATCAGCTACCATGGCTGTAATTTCTTGGTGAGGTGAAAGATATATCCACCTCAGTCCCCTTTTTACCACATACTTCACCATTCGATCCTAGCCATTGATCCTACCTACCCTTTTCTTCCTATATATATCCTATATGTGTAGAAACTTTATCTTCTTGCTGAAAATCTGTAGATTTAAGAGAGAAAATCAAACGCTTTCATCTTTGTTCTTCAAGCTTCAAGTCTAGGTAAATTCCTCTCTATATCTACTTCAATTCCATAAGTTAAAGCCTTCATTTCTTTCCTTTGATTTCATGTTACAATGAATCATGAATCTAAATCCTAAAATACAAATTTAGACTTTATTTCCTCCCATTGATATCATGTTGCAATGAACCACGAGGCTAAAGCTCAAACAAGGATTTTACCCATGAACAATTTTTTTTTTCCCTGAACAGACAATCTACTTTTAAAATTCGTCAAAAAATATTTAGGACACTTTAACGGTTGATTTTTGGACCAGAGTTAAATTAGAGTGTTATCTTTCCAACCTAATTTGTTTCAACTCGATCCAACGGCTAGATTGTTGTGGAAATGATTTTTTTAGAAACTACAACAGATCTGGACCAACTTTGTTTTACTGCCATTTTACCCTGTTTATGAGCATTTTTGGGAGACGAGTCCTTCATGAAAAAGTTTCATAACATCTTGATTGATAACCCTGTAAAATTTCAGAATATTTTAAAGTGTTTTGATTAGGATTTTAGCCTCTGATCTAAAGTGCTGCAAACTAAGAATTTTTGGACCATAAGAGAAGGACCCCTTTTAAATTGTACGCTTTGGGATTATGGTTTGAATATTTATTTCATGCTTAGAATTAATTCCTAGACCTACTGTAATGTAGTTTTTCATACGTTGTGTTTAGATCTCTTATCTGGTTGATTTTACCAAACTTCGTGTACATTTAGGTGAGTTCATGCTTACGTTTTTTACATGTATTTGAATATAATGACATGCATAGATCGATGAATTATTTTGGAGCATGAGATTGCATTGATTTATGAATAACCGAATAAACATATGATTTTGAACTTTAGCAAGTATGCCTATGATTGGAAAAGTACCTTGAATACATTTTGAAAATCATGTTATGTTTTAGAAAACGTGAGCTAACGGGATAAGCCGACTCACACGTATTGCTTATATACATATTTTTTTTATGAAGCCATGGTTAAGACATTGTTATAAAACTCTTGCAAATGTAATAAAGTACATTTGAACGGAACATCCCAGACGTTGGGGGAAATCAAAGATACCAACGGGTGAGGCGTTATAAGGGTGGTTGTTGGGACGCGGCCATCATCCCTTGGCATGATCATGACCACTTGATATTAGAATGGGTAGCTCCCTACTTCTCTAGCAACATATCCACTCGAATGGACATATGTATATATATTTTGATATATATATATATAAATGGACATATGTATATATATTTTGATATATATATATATATATATAAGGCATTTATTTTGTCTTTTCAACCATTGGGCTTTTGAACATGAACAGTTATGCTTGAAACTTAAAATATTTATGTTTGAACCATGGCAAACTTGTAAATTGTGTAAATATGTTCTCACAAGCTTTATAGCTCACAAGTGTGTTACTAACCCATTTCAGGTAAAGAGAATGCTTAGTGGATAACCAAAGGCCTATTTTTGTGGTGTCTCGTGGCCTGGGATGGATTCTAGACCTATAGTTTTATATAAGTCATGTATTACCTCTTTTGTTGGCATAAGGCCAAGTTATTGTTGTAACTTAACTTGACTTTCCTTTATGACTTGTATGACTTATATAGCAACGCTCTAGTTAAATGTAATCACCTAGTATTTACGATGATTTATTTATTTGTTCTCTAAACTAGTTAGTAGTAGGCCTAGGGTGCGAGATGAGGCGCTGGCCGGTTGCGATTCCGATTAGACCCTATTTCGGGTCGTGACATAATGGTTTGTTGTATTTGATTTATGAAAAATACATTACAAATAGAATTACCATTCACCATTATAAGAGAATAGAGAGACTAAAAAGTGACTATTTTATTTAATTCCAATGAACCAAACACTATATAAGTGATTATCACACAAATCTACTAAAGAGCAAGATGATGATTTACTTTCAAATCATCATGCAAAATATACATAAAATATAAACATAAATCTTACATTAGTAGTATTATTTGAATCTAATCTATCAATAATAATTTTCTTTTCTTTTCTGATCAAATATGAAAAATCAAATCAAACTTAATTTAGAGTACATTCATAACAATTTGATAAACTCTTTTTTCCATTAGGAGTTGTTTGGGGAAGATCTCAATAGATACACTTATTTAATAATTACATTTATTGGGATCATAGAATCTCTCTACTTTTCTGCATATATTTTTGTAAGAAGTCAAAAAATATACTAAATAAGCAAACAATCAATTACAAGACTAATGTGCTCATATCAAATAAATTCTTATTGGACCTAACTTGGTATGTGAAGGTGATCCATATTAGGCATGTCATACAATTCAGTTCAATTTCTTTACTTGGATAATGGAAGGACCAATTGTACCTAGGTGCAGTGGTTCGAATAAGCAGTGAAGCTTTCACTTATACATGTTGCAATATAAGAAGGATCACCATAAGAAGACTGTTTAAGAATATGAGTGGAATCTTACCACAAAAATAAT